GAAGCACTTGCCAAAAATTTTGCTGGGATCATTCTTGAATTGCACGCACACTACAAAAATTCTCTGTGGAAGCTGCCCACCTCTGGTCTAAAAGTATGATCAAATAGTAAAATACAAACCTCATTCGAGACTTCTTCGTCTTCTTTCCGCTTTGCGGCCTCATCACTAGTCTTCGCCTGTTCATCATCGTTTTCCTTCGCTTCTCCTTTATGAAACGTACATATGTATTAGTTAGCCAACTATAAACATCCATTATTTAAAAAGTTTTGCGTTTACCTTCATCCTTTCTGCTCTCCGAGTCGTTTTCGCCTGTTTCGTCATCTCTCTTATCTTCTTCGTTTTGCTCTTTCTGTCGTTGGACCACAATAAATTATGATAAGTTTTTTTTTTGTTATAAAAATTCAAATGCTGCAAGCGGCTTAGTTTTGTTATCATTGCAGAGATCGCGGCAGCTTATAAGTTTTTCATGCATTCGTCAATAAGCCCAATACATTTGAATATTTATGCACGTAACACATAATAGTTATGTTTAATGAGACCGAAAAAAGTTCATAGCAGCTCTAGTTAGAGCAGAATCGAGCAGCTGTCAAAAAACAATAGAGCAAGTTGGAGCAACTCGGACCAGAAATCTCATGAAGCACTTTTCAGGCAGAAGTTCTCAAAACAGTTGCTTGCTCTAAGTTACTCCATCAAAAAAGCTGGTGCAGAAAATCGTGCTCTAAGTTGCTCTAGTTCCCGTAGCGCACGCTCATAAAACAAAAACTAGAGTAAGTTAAAGCAAGAAAAATCCTCATGAAACACAATTTTATGAGATATCTTAACCTGGCGTAACCTAGAGCAGCTCATTAACAACTTATCCCTGCCAGCAATTTGAAGAGAATTTTATCGCCTGTCGCTACGATACGATGTACCATGATTCAATAATCATGACGATGCAAAACTCGAATGCCACTAATGAGCAAACCTTTAATTATTTAATCATGATGACGATGTACTACTTCGTCACTATTTGATGTTTACAATGGGGTGGTATCTCATTTCACAAAAACAAAAAACATTTCTATCTATTTCTTGAAAGGTTATCGCACGATTTTTATTTTGCAACACTCAAAAAGTGATGGGAATGAGACCAATTGCATTCATTAAAAGATGTCAAAATATGAATCAATACCAAATCATTTGTAAAAGTTGGTTCGCATTTCCTTTTTATATCAATTTGAAGTTGTGAATTTAAGGTAATAAAAATAAACATGTTTTTTTCGGTTTCGCTCAAAAATTTCATACCTACATACATATATATATGTATAATAAAAATGTTTCAGTTGAACATTAAGCTGTGGCACAAACTCCTCCCATCCCATCCCTTGGGATTGGGATCTTATTTCTCCAACCTCAAATTGAGATAAATAAGAAATGATAACCAACTTTTTCAAATCCTTTGGTACTTTGTTCGTCCGATTCCCATCACCTCCAACTTTTTGAAATTTGTCGCACAGTGAAACTGACAGAGCAAATCTTGGAAGTTCTTCCAAGTATGAGCATAATTTTTTTTTAAAGTAATTCTGCGGTGGTGTTTCCAAGCTCGAAGGCATCCCAAATTTCGCATTACGTGTTATCGAAAATTTAACTTTCTGAAGAAGCGAATAAGCACTGGAAAAAATAGCAATATCACCGGCATTTATCGTATCGAATTAGTGACTTCCGCGGTAGAAAAGTTGGCGGGGAGTACTCGCTTCCTGTAAATCTGTGGTGTCAGGTATAAAAATTATAACTCTATCTTTGATATTTTTTTTAGTTTTGTTCACTAAGAAATAACTCTTACTTTACCATCCCACAAGAATGTAATACAGCTGCTGTCAACTAATTAACCACCCTATGCTATGCAAGCAGCCATTAATTTCAATAGAAAATCAGTTGCATAACACCAATTCAATAGCAATTTTTAAAATATAATTGGTGTACTAACATTTTTTCCTTGAATTTCGTTACGTGTACGTACGAGTATGTTGTTTGTACTTGATTTAAAAAAAAAAATGGTTGGTGGGGACTAAAATAAATGAAACATCTTTTTTCTTCAATTGGTTCTTGATTTATGATAAACTATTTCATTTCTATTTAATTTATTGACAGATTTTACAAATTGAAATTACTTGATTTCAGCATGATTTGCTTATAAAAGCTGGGTTATGCAAAATTTAGACTCGACTTGACTTACCTAGAAACTTAGAAAGGATTACTCAGCCTGTCAATTACCTTTTCTCTTTGTTTTGATGTTTAGCACTTGTATTTGTACACGTAAAATTGCAAACGTTTAATTTCTTTTTACGCCAAAATAGATACAAAATTAAAATTAAAATGAATTTATTTACGCGCATCAAATTGTGATTGTTTTTATTTAAATTTCTGTATTTATATGAAAGTTTGTTTTGCGATTGCCAGATGAATTACATTTATACAAGAAATTATATTTCCGTGGCATATTTGTAGGGATTTTATTAAAAAATTAAATGGCAGCATGATACTCTCACGGCTCTCTCTGCACTTAGAAATTTAAAAGGTCGGTGTTATGCAGACAAACTTTTGTTTGCCAAATTAAATGGCGGCTGCTTAGTTTGCTCGGAGGTGGTTATGTCGAGTTTGGCACAGGGTTGCACGTTCATTATGGTTTTCATGGCTATTGCCAACACGAAATGAGAATTTCAGATGTACATAACGCGCAAAATTTAAAATTTTTGTATATGACAACACCGAATTTGCTGCAGTTTGACCAAACAAAATTAGTTTGCTGTGAGAGTCGCCAAACTCGCTCTCTCCGAGTTTGCTGCAACAACAATTGCACGCAGTTTGCCAAACAAAATTTCTGCATAACACCGACCTTAGATATCAAAAATCTTTAGTTCTCAAAGTTTCTGAGTGAAGTTGTTTTTGTTTTTGGGTAACTACATACACGCGCTGCTCATGTGCCAGATATACAATTTTCAAGGCAAGTCATGTCTAAGTCTTACATAACTGAGCTTTAAATTACAAATGAACCGTAAATTACGATAATGTGAACATGCGTTTACTCTGTGTTTTTTTTTATCTTTGATTTACAGTACAAAAACTGAAGTTAACTGCAGTACGAGAATTAAAAAACACTGTGAAAACGGAGCTGATGCTCGTTTGAAAGGGGATAATTCACGCGTTAATGCAAATAAGGGCTTCTAATGCAAATAAACACAGCCTCATCATTTTAGTATTTTTTGAGAAAAGGTTGGCTTAATCACTAACGGCTAAAGCGGTTAAAGCGGCTAAAGTACACTTTTACGAATATGAGCCAATCCAACGCATTATTTGATGATACAGAATCCTCAGTTTTACAGCATAATGTTTATTTGTGAAAACTTTAATTAATTTGATTTACCGAAGTATATTTTGCTTGTTGGGTAGTTGAAGAGGATACCTCTCTTCCTCGTTTCCATTCAACACATTTCTTGAGTGCAAAAAAATTAAACTTGATAAAAAGTTCTAATTTTGCAGATTTTCAGGTTAAGAAGTTTTGGTTGAAATAACCTTTAAATTGCTTTAATTTTAGAGACTTTAGAGAAATGGCACCTAAGGAAAAGTTTAGTATAGCTAACATTGGTAGTCAATTAGTTTGCCTATAGTAAAATATGCTTAGCACAATCTGCCTTAAATTATTATTAATATTAAAGTAAATATGCATGTTCACATAAAAAAGCTGGCGCAAGCCTAAAAGCGCAAGCACTTCAGCAGTTTTGTTCTTAATATTAGGGGTATTCTCCGAGTCTTTCAAAGCCCTTGCAAGTGGCACAGATTGCAATCCGTGCACCGTGCAAGGGCTTTGCAAGACTCAGATAATACCCCTATTATCTATACAACTTCTATTTGTAACCTTGTCGTTGCAAACGAAAACAATAACACAAACTATCGAAATCCTAACCGCTAGCATTGAAAAAAAAATTAAACATCGCACATAGTACAACCGGTCAAACTTATTTGATTTGTTTTTCTTTTAAGTGATAAAATAAAACACGGAATAAACGGATAATTAGGAGTTTATATAAGAAAAAAGCTAATAACCCTTATCTTAGAATAACTTTTCTGACATACATACATATGTTATTATGCATTTATACATCAGATACCACAAAAAAGGTTTTATGTCCTTTTTTAGTTTGGTTCTAGTTTACGAATAATTGCGTATGTTTCAGAATTTTCAGTTGCTGAAATATTGATGCTTTTTCAAATACAAGAAAAAGAATGCGGTACAATGTGCTAAGCGTTACTGTCCAGTTTCATAGTTTTTCAAAGGACCCTCCGAGGAGTCTGAACTTTGACGACATATAATTCGGTAAACCTCGGTTCTCTGCTCCTACCAAGGCATTTCTATATTTTCAATTTATTTTTACAGATGAAGAAAAAAGTAGGAAAAAACATACGATTTGTACATACGTACATACTTATATATTTTGGGCCGTATGCATACGAGTAAAAGTTCTGAAATTTTAAGAAAAAGCATTTGCTTAGGTTTTATGCCTGGCAATCGTTCGATCGTTATGTAACTTTTACCAAATTAAAGGGTGGACGTAGGTACAGATTTTTAATTATTCGCGCATCGATTCTCCTTACAACTAGACGTTAGACATTTCTGCTTCAAATCACTTCGGAAGGATCTTAAACTTCGATTTTAAATAGCAGGAAAATTCAGACGTAGGTGGACAATTCATAATAAAATTACTATAATTTGAAATTTTTGCTGAAAATATATATGTACATGTGTATGTATGAACATATCGCTTATTTAATTCTATAGTCATAATCCAAAAAATACAAAAATTTAATCAAATATGCAGAAATGACCGCGAGCGCTAGTAATAACAAATGAACAATTATCACGATAAGGGCGGGCTATGTCTATTTTACGTACGTAAAAGATGAGGTGGTGGTGGGGACTTATCGAAATCGTCACGTAAAAATACTTACATATTTCGAATTACGAGACGAGCAGTACGTTCACGACTGTTATAATCCGAAATAGGCATTTTTACGTGACGAGTTGCTCCTTCATGACTGTTACGATTCGACTTCATGACTGTTACTGACGACTGGGGTATCATAATATATAATTTTCTTTCGTATGGTTTGCGATCCGTGAACGGACGTTACGATGTGAGCCCTGAATAGGATGAAGAGCACGTTCACGTATGTCATAATCCGAAAAGTGTTTCTACGTGACGAGTAATACGATATCCTATGTGACGATGCGAGCCCTGGGCTCATCATAAATATTTATACATTTAGTAGTCCACAAAATAATAGGACTGCGATATTTTGTCCAGTTTTTGCTATTTGGCTTTGTTTATTTAATGTTTTTTTTTTTTTTATAAAAGTAGCTGGTTGTACAACAAACACCAAACATTATGCAAAAATTATAAAAATTCTGCAAATTTTCACCAAAATTTCCAAATTTTTAATCAGAACCTTTAGAAAAAATTTTTAGCCTAGTATAATGGATTACAAATTTGAAGATGCTACAAAATCCTGTTGACTTTTGGCTTTTTTTTCTGACAATGTCCTCTATATAAAGGAAAATTGTCGAACATACTTTGTATGGAAAAATTCTCAAAAATCAACGGGATTTGTTACGAACTTGAAACTTCCACTTCATTATCCTAGAAATAAATGGGCTACAAAGAGCTGCATATCAAGACTTTTTTTTTTAAATTTTGGGTAAAAGTTTATATAGCGCTAGTTGTATAAGGGCCATTGCATTGTGACTGATGGGATATTTTACTACGGAATGTAACCAATTTTGAATTACAACTACAGTATTGGACATATCTATAGCACCCCCCTTTCAAAGCGATATTGTTTGCCACTTATGTTTAGTTATTTGTTTTTAAGAATTTTCAATTAAAATACAGTTCATTCTCTAACAAAACCCATATAAACCCATGTTTTAAACTTTTTAAAAGACCGCAAAAAAGCGCAACAAACTTTCCCTTAAATTTCAAACTTTTTTCTCAGAAGCTCTAGAATTTTTTTGAGTACACAGTTTTATAGCGCATTCAATTGTAGTCCAATAATGTGCAAGTTTCAAGTCGCTAAAGATTACCGTTGATTTGCTTCCATATAACGACTAAACACAATTTATTTTTATATGGCAGAAACCCGCAACATCCTCGGCGAAAAAAAATCTAAAAAATCAACGGTAATTTTTAGCCACTTGAAACTTGCACATTATTAGACTAAAATCGAATGGGCTATAAAACTGTGTATTCAAAAAAATTCTACCGCTTCTGAGAAAAAAGTTTGAAATTTGGGTGAAAATTTGTTGCACTTTTTTGCGGACTTTTAAAAAGTTTTAAACTTAAGTTTATGTGAGTTTTGTCAGAGAATGAACTGTATTTTAATTGAAAACTCTTAAAAATAAATAAATAAACATGAGTGGCAAACAATATGATTTTGAAATGGTGCTATTGTATTGGCCAATACTGTATGTCGTCGGATCTATACAACAACAAATGATATTTTTTAACATAGAACGATAAAACTAATGTACAATTGCTTTAGCAAAAATACCAAACGATTTCTTAATTTAATGTAACTATCATTTGAAGGAATGTGCCTGATGGGACACTGAAAATAACTATTTTACCTTTGTGCACTCAAAGATTAATTTTAGCCAAAACGCTTAATTTTCAATAACGATGTTTTTGTGTTGTAAAACATGAACTATACACTTTCGTTTTCAATAAAAATTAAACTTAAATAATCTTCATACAGCCAATTTCACGAAAGTAATTTAAGTGAAACTTGATTTTAGTTTTTTGAATTGTATATTTGTATATTTTGACAGAAAATAAAAAATCATTTCACATTTAAATTACTGGTGAAACTGGCTGATAGAATATTAAAAAAAAAAAATATTTAAATTTGTGGGACTTGTCCTTGTAACTGGTGGGATTATACGTGAATAAAAGTTTCCTTAGACAAAAATTACCACTTATTTTTATTTGTTTATAATTAATATTATTAACAGATAAATGAAATGTAGTCACCTAAAAAGGTTTCAATTGAAATAGAGATTTTAAAATTTATTTCGTTTTCCTCTTTTACATCGAATGACCCATAACCAGCTGGAATTTTATAAAAAAAATAAACATTAAATAAACAAAGCCAAATAGCCAAAACTGGTCAAAATATCGCAATCCTATGATTTTGTGGACAACTGTACATACCCACCAAGCAACACATGAGAAATAGGTAAAAATCGTCAATGGCAACGAATTGGCAACTCGCAATTTTTCGTAGAAGGGTCATTCCATTGAAAAGAGGAAAACGACATAAATTTAAATATGCCCTAATCTATATATCGTCGCCTGGGAAAAAGATTGTCGTATGTTGATTTCGGCAGGTTGCGGGAAATCGCGATTGAAGTTTGGAATGCAATTTCTCAAAAACGCGAAGATAGATATTCTCCAAAGTCTCTGAAAATGTTACTAGTTAACAAAATTCTTAAATTATTTAATTTTTAATGTTTAATGTTAATTAGCTTTGAGTTTATGAAGGATTTTCTTTAGTAAAATTTTGTCGTAAGCGTCATTTGTCCACGAATTGGCAGCCACTTTGTAGGAAATACGACAAAATGTGATCAAAATTTCTACTAAATTAACAAAACTTTTTACTCAATATCTCGGAAACTAAAGGAGATATCCAAAAATGGAGAACGTCATTTTTAAGATATTGATTAGTTTAATATGGCAGCATCACTAACTAAATTTTTACTAAATTACAGAAAAATTTGTAGTCAATATCTCGGAAACTAAAGGAGATATCTGAAAACTGATAACACCAATCGAAAGATCTTATTTCAAAATATATAACTGCATCTAGAACTTAAAATCGTCAAAATAGCGCTTACGACAATCTTTTACCCAGGCGACGATATATAATACGCGAAGGCATTTTTTCAGCATAAAAGATCTGCACCGTTCGTTCGATTTTCAAAAATAGGGTGTCAAATTAAAGGGATCGGGCTGTAGGATTTATTTTTATGAAAAGAATTGCCATCTTTTAAAAACTTATCTATATTCAAATTATTTAAAAAATGTATCAATTATTCAAAATGGGTAATAATCGAAATGGTTTTGAAAAGCTTTGTTTTTTAACTTAACTAAAAAATAAAATTAAATTCTAATTAAGGGAAATAGGTAAGAGAAGTATGTATGCATCACCATATGGGTGCCAAAGGAAATGGTTTAAGAAGGTAATAGTTTGAAGATATTTTGAACAAAGTTGCCACCTGCTTGAAATGTCGAATTTAGTTAACTTATACACAAATTATATGAAAAATCAAAATATGAATGTCAAACGAAAGTGTGTTAAGAAATCTTTATTTTCAACGCAGACTATTTTCGAGGTGATGGAAAAGGGTTGCCACCTATTTAACAGAGCTGGGTCGTAATGATTCCTTTAGGAATTAAATTACTCCCAATTACAGATTACAAGGAATTGTAATTAGGAATCAATTCCTGCAGTCCACAGCAAAGGAATCGATTACTTTTTCAATTCCTTGAAGTAATTTCAAATGTAATTGGGTTTTTCTTTAATTCCATTACAAGGAATTTCATATTGTAATTGGAATAAATTACGTGCTAGTAATGTAATATTTTTTTTCCAATTCCTTTGAAAGGAATTGAAAATGTAATTGATTTTTTTTCAATTCCATTACCTGGAATTGCAAGAGTACTTTAGTTTTTCCAATTACTCAAAGGAATTGTAAAAGTAATCGAGAAACTGAAAGTTCATTCACGAATGTACAATGTGGAATTTTTGTTGTGGTCAAAGATTAAAATCGAAAGCACACATTGGACATCTTCTATGTATATCTATATATATATAAAATGTTGTGTTCGTATGTCACGGTCATCAAAACCCGAGAACGGCTAAACCGATTTGAATAATATTTTTTTTATTATTCGGTATAATACCAGAACCAATGATATCGCAAAAATTTGGTGGGTTGCCACCTATTTTAAAATTTAATTAATTTAAAATCAATGAATTATTACAATATGGGTATTAAGTTAAAGACGTTTAAGAAAGATAACTGCTGGAAGTATTTTTGACGAGGGTGGCCTCCTATTTGAAAATTTAAACTCAGTCAAATTGTTAAAAAAAAATGAAATATTGCCATGTGGGTGTCAAACTAAAGAGTTTTAGGAAGGCTTACTGCAGAAAATATGTTTTAGGAGGGTTGCCATCTGTTTGAAAATTTAACTAAATTACATTGACAAAATAAATAAAATATTACAATATGGGTATCAAATTAAAAAGGTTTGAGAAAGATAACTGTTGGAAATATTTTTGAGGGGGCTGCCACCTATTTGGAAATTGTAACTCAGTTAAATTGATAAAGTAAATGCAATGTTGGCATGTGGGTGTTAAACTAAAGAGTTTTAAAAAGGCTTACAGTCTACCATGAACACTTCCAGAAATATGCAATATGAAAAGTTCGGTTTATATGGGAGGTGGCGCACGCCATTCTCCAACCATGCAAATTTTTCTCCATGAGTATGGAATTGGTCTTATATATGTATATAGATATCACCATACCCAGTTCTAGTCCTCTACCACAAATATATGCAGTTTGAAAAATTCGGTTTGTATGGGAGGTGCCACGCCCCCTTTCTATATCGAAACTTTTTTTAGCTATAACCATCCTTGGAAAGTCTGCAGTAGATTCCGAAATTTCAAAAAAATCGGTACGGCCTTTCTCGAGCTTTGCGAACAGAAAAAAAAACGCCTTTCAAAATATATATTAGTATAGACTAGCCAAACTCTGCTTGTTTTGCGGGTTAAAACACTACTACCGATGAAAATCGATGGATAAATAAACAAGTTTGCAAGGGTTAAGTGAAATTGCAATAATTTTTTGTATGAAATACTAGCAGGAAATTTAACAAAGCTATTGCAATTCAACAGTAAAATTTTTTTCTTTATAAATTTTTCGATTACTTTTTAAATTACTTTGAGGAATGGAATTGGAAAAAAAATCAATTACATTTTCAATTCCTTTCAAAGGAATTGGAAAAAAAATTACATTTTCAATTCCTTTCAAAGGAATTGAAATAAAAGAAATTACATTACTAGCACGTAATTTATTCCAATTACAATATGAAATTCCTTGTAATGGAATTAAAGAAAAAAACAATTCCATTTGAAATTACTTCAAGGAATTGAAAAAGTAATCGATTCCTTTGCAGTGAACTAAAGGAATTGAATTCTAATTACAATTACTGAGGAATGTAATTGTAATTGTAATGTAATTGCATTTACCCAGCTCTGCTATTTAAATAGTTAAATTCAAAGTTTTTAATAAGTTATTTTATAATTCATTTATTAAAATTTGGGTATCGATCTAAGGGGGTTTCAAAAATATTTATTTCTGAACCATATTTAGTGGGGTTGCCCCATGTTTAAAAAATCAAACTCAACTAAATTTTAACACTTAATTAAAATATGTATCGCAATTTTAAGACAAAGGAGCCTTAACAAGAGTTTAGCTTGAAAATACTTTTCAAGTGGGGTGCCATCTGTTTGAAAGGTTTAATTTAATTAACTAATGCAAAATTTATGTGAATTATATAAAATACGGGAGTCAAACGAAAGAGTGTTAAGAAATATTTAGTCTGAACATTTGGAACGTTTGAGCAAGGCTGCCACGTGTTTAAAAAGTTACATTCAAATTATTCAATAAGTTCGACGAATTATTAAAGGATGGGTATCAATCGAAATGGGCTTGAAAACTCTTTATTTCTGACCTTTATTTAGGAGGGTTGCAACGTGTTTGAACAATCAAATTCAAATTAGTTCATCTGCTATTGAAACACACGTGTATCATAATGTCAGGCGAGAGATTTAAGTTTGAAATAAATTTTTAAAAGTCGAATTTACGTACACACAAGTTTTATGAAATATTTAGATATGGGTGTGATTCGAAAGAAATTTATGAAAGCTTTAGTTTGAAAATATCTTTAATTAGGCTGGCCACCTTTTCGAAAAAAAAAAACATATCGACCTAAAAGTATAGGTATTTTGTGTGATGTCATTCGATTTTCAGCGTGTTTTGAATTTTAAAAATTAGAGGTCAAATTAAAGACCTTAACCTGTAGATGGCGATAAAGTTTTATTTTTTTTACTAAAGATCTTTTTTATCGGTAAAGGGTGATTTGAAATTTGATGAAATTAAAAACCTGCAATATGCAAGACCTCTCTTCACTAAAAAACGGCTACACGGATTTAGATGAAATGTGGCACTTTTATCGCTTATAACTGTGACTTATATTTGGAAGTTTTTTAGATTTTTGAAATTCAATTTTGCGCGTTTTAACGCCATGCGGGTTCACTAGTTATCTCTATTTCAGTAGTAACCTCTTTTTAAATGACTACATTTCATTAAACTGTGGGAAAATACTAAGGGTATTCAGACTATTCTCGTTAATGTATTAATTCGTTTTTTTTGTAACTCGGCAACACTTCCAACTTCGAACGAACCTTATTATTTTTCTGGTTAAAATTACTTTCTAATCAGCTGACGTAAACTTCTTTTATTTATAAACATTTATTAATTCCATGGCAGAAAGGTTTATTGAACTATTGATAAACTGTATGCTCTTTTCGCAAATAAGTGACAGAAAGGAATCAGCCGACATTTTAACGCGTGTGTTACCACATTATCAGACTTTTCACCTCGTTAAGTTGGTAATGATATATTCGGTAATTTACAAAAACAAAACAATGGTGGGAGTTAATTAAGACCTTAACGAGTATAGTCTGAATACCCTTATTAACAAATCAAAAGAAGTTGTAATTTTTCTCTATAGAAGCTTTTATTTCATGCATAATTACTTTGCAGCAGTCACAAGGAGATGTCTCACCAGTCACAACTTTAAATATTTTTTAATATTTCTATGAAGATTATATAAGCCTCATTTTTATTGAAAACGAAAGCGTATAATTCATATTTTACAACACAAATACATCGTTCGTGAATATTAAGTGTTTTGGCTAAAATTCATATTTGAGTGCACAAAGGTAAAATAGAGTTCTTTTCAGTCTCCCACCAGTCACATCCATTCAAATGATAGTAACATAAAACTAAGAAATCGTTTGGTATTTTTGTTAAAGCAATTTTATACATTAGTTATCGTTCTATGTTAAAAAATATCTTTCGACGACATAGTTAAAATTCACAATTGATCAGCTTCTGGAGTAAAATGCCCCTTTAGTCACAATGGAATGGCCCAGAAATGGTATGGAATTCTTGAAACTCAATATTTTTCGATCGGAAAGCTCTATTTCTCTTCAGGAGACTTCCAATAATAACACCCAATTACTTGTTCAACCATTTTTTAATGATAACTATGGAACTACATATATGGAAAACTTTGAGCGCTGTGAGCCACCTTTAAATCTTTTTTGATTGACCTATTCAGGCCATTCGCACATTTCTAGGGGGTGAGACTGAACATCCACATTTATTTTTCTCCATATAATTAAGGTTCACCCTAATGTTGATATGTATACAGACAACAGTTAAGACAACATAAAGCAAACATACGTTTTATAGAATTACAAGAATGTATTTTATCGAATTTAAAGCATATACATACATACATTATGTAGTTACACACGCGCAAAGTTATCTTCTTATGTCTTTTATTCTTGCTTTCATTAATACATCTGTGTTGTGTTTTTTATAATCGTCCCAATAAAAACTGTTGGTTTAAAAAAAGGGTTCAAAATACACGTTGATGATGATTTATTTTTTAATTTGAAAAATATGACTTAAAGTAATTTAAAGTGGGAATACTTTCGTTGCTACCACTAAAGTTCAAAGTAAGAAATACATATTTCAACAAGTATTTCTTCTTTTTGTTGAATCGGAGTTCATATGAATTTTGTTCTGGCTTTTGTGACATACAGATTTCTATACACATTAAACCCGAAATTCATCAAAAATAAAATGAATTTGAATGATTTACAAATAGAATTTTTTTATAAAGCTTTTAAATCCATTTTATTTATGAATGTGTTTGTAGTAAATGTATTATATTTTTCGAAGCCTTAAAAAGTTCGATATATTCTTCGTCTAGACAAATATACGTTTGTTATTCGTATTATATTGACGCCTATTATTGATAACTATTTACGTTCATCTGTATATTTCAGTATATAGTACTTCTCACAATGTATTCAAAATGTAAAGTATACTTCCTTTCGTAGGATGCGGGAGTCGAAAAAATTTGTATTTTTTTAATTTATTAGCATATATGGATAATGAAATAATTGGAAGATTGAAAATCTTAATGTTTCCATTTTAATATGATAAAACTTGAAACTAAAATATATTGCCCTTTATTGCTATGACTTGAGAAAGCAGCTATCAAAATCGTTTTCCATTGAATTTACATAATTTTGTAAATATTTGTTACCTATGCATATTTTATCAAAAACCTGTATGCACTTTATGCTTCCTATAAACGGATTCTTACCAAGTATGTCTTTTTTGTGGGCTCACGTACAAATATTTGTCAAAGCTTAAATGATCAAAGCATGAATACTAAACCAGAACTAAAATATTTAAGTAAATAATAAATATGCAAACGCATACTTTTGGTCAACTAATTAAGTTAGTAACTTTTGACCAGCATTGGCTATTTTTCTTTTGTTAATGTTTATTATTTCTTATAAAAGTTATAAAAGAAATTTCGATTCTACTTTATATTGGAAGAAAATGTGTTGTGCATTAGCAAAAAAAAAAAATTATAAAAATCAACACGAATTCATAGTGAACTGAAACTTGCTCTAAAATTCAATGAGGAATAATTCTGCATACATAAAATGTTTCTAAAAAGTTTGAAATTTGGGTGAAATTTTTTTGAATTTTTGTAATTTTTGTACAAAGTTTGAAATATGGATTTATATGGTGCTTGTTATTTAATGAGCTAGACTTTTACTAAAGATAATAAACATTAAAAGAAAATTTGCCAAAACTGGTCAAAATGTCACTAACTTAATTAGTTGTACACAATATGTAAATGTCATGTTATATAATAATATTTTGCACACTGGTTGTTAGTTTTAATAATCGATTCGATTGCTATTTTTTGCGCAGTATAAAAATTTTAAATTAAACGAAAGTATTGAAATACATAATTTAAAATAATGGCAAAACAAAAAAAATAAGAATAAGCAAAAAGACTTTCATGTTAATGTTAATATGCTGCATAAGAGCATAATAATTTGCGAGTTAGCAATATCTAGCGATGTTTGCATATAAAATTTCTCGAATGGCTGTTAACATAAAAACTAGCAGCTCAAACCTCAGCATTCGCATTATCGCCGTTTGCTGCCTCCCCAGTGCTGGCAGTTGCTTCGTTGTCATCAGCAGCTTTCTCAGCCTCTGCGCCATCCTTTTTCTCCTCAACGGTCTCTTTATTTTCCTTGTTCTCATCATCGTCTGCTTTTGTTGCTACTTTGACTTCACCGTTTTCCTGTTTTAGCTCTAGCTGTGCACTAGAAACAGCTGTCGTGTCGGCTGGTGCCAATTTCAAGAACTGTTCCAACGTATCTATCTCATTGGCCAAGTCAAATGCATCATAGTCGCCACAGTATTCTTCTTCGTTGAATATTTGCGGTGGCAGTGGGTGGCGCGGATCAGTGTCGCTAACTGTCGCTCCATTGCTCGTCGATTTCGTTTGCATTAATTCCTTCTCGCTTTCTTTTCCTGGCTCAGTGATGTCCACTACGTCGTACTTGATATTTTTACTGTCAAGGATCATCAAAACACGCTGTTGACGTTTCTTTACCTATCAAAGAAAAAAGGAAAACATAATTACTAGGGGGATTGAATCGGATTTTCCAAACCGGTTTCCACCGGGTTTTTGGATGTCCATAGGCGATTTTTTTTAATATTGATTTTTCGAATATCGAATAAACCGGATTTTTTTATCGAATAAATCGGTTTTTTTATTTCAAACAAAAGTTTTCAGTTTTTCGATGAGTTTTCAAGCTAAAAAAAAAAAGTCCTATATTTATCTTATTTATAGTCCGTTTTGGCTACTTTTTATAGTATATGTATACTGGTTATGTAAGCAAGACCATTTTTGTCTCGTTAGGTGGCGCCAGGGTCGAGATATTTTGAGAACCCGTATTTATGCTCTGATTTGCTTCACATTTGGCATGTTTAATTGAAACATAGAGACATACATAGATTTGCAAATGGAACCGCTGGTGGCGCTTTTTTAAAGGAAATTTTAACAACATAAAGCCAGGTGTCAGGTCAAATAATTCAGCTGATTAAACATGAAGCAGAAAAAATTTATTAAGTTTATTAATTTCCAATATTACTACAAAAACTTGTATACAAAAAGTCTTAAGGCTCTGTTATGCATGTTGTTGTTGTTGTTGTTGTTGTAGCGGCTACAACAACCCCGCCCAGATCGGTTAGTCCCTCAATCGTTGTCGTCAAGCTCCACTAACGGCAGCCCTAGGAAGCGTGCAGCCTCGACGGGGTATGTCCATAGGGACAGGGGCGCTAGCGTGGTGGGGTTTAGAGGGTATGCGAAGAGATGCTGTGAGTCATGGGGCGACTCTCCGTATGCCGGGCATTCATTTGGAATATCTTCGCTTAATGTGCTTAGGTATGAGTTAAACCTGCTGCAGTAACCAGAGCGTAGTTGGGCTATTGTGGTCCGAGTCTCCCGAGGCAGACGAAGTTCTGTCTCGTCCACGTCTGGTGGAACGGCATTCACAGGTCGGGAGTCTACATAACTCGAGACTGCCTCTCTGTGAATGCCGTTCAAGGCCTGTCGATAGGTTGTCGGGTCCAGGGGTTGTTTGATGAACCTCTGGACTTCGTCCGTCAGTTCGTAGAGATGCCTCCTGACGTTCCTGGGCGAAGGCTCTTCTGCAAGGAGTTGCCTGTTTGGATGGCCACATCTGTGACTCCCAACCAGGAACTCCCTGCAGAGCATTATGTTATGCTCCTTAACTGGGAGCATGTGGGCCTCCTCGTGCATGTGGTGTTGCGGCGACATCAGGAGGTATCCTGTCGCTGTCCTAAGTGCCGTGTTCTGGCAAGTCTGCAGCTTCATCCACTGCGTCCTACTAGTCCCCGGTGACCACACTGGCGCAGCGTAGCTCAGAACCCGTCGGCCAATTGCCTTGTACGTTGCCAGCAACGTTTCTTTGTCCTTGCCCCAGGTGCTGCCGGCTAGCGACTTGAGGATCTTGTTGCGGCTTTGTACTTTGTTGACAATTGCGGTTGTATGCACCGAGAAGGAGAGCAGACTGTCGAATGTTACTCCGAGTATCTTCGGCTTGTTCACCGTCGGTCCAGGTGGTAAAAAGTGTGGCTGAGTATTTTGTAGGGGAGAGGGTTAGGCTCCGTGAAGTGAAAAAGCGAGAAAGCTCGGCGAGATAACCGTTTACTTTCGAACACAAGTCATCAATTCCATTCCCGGACGCCATGATCGAGCAATCGTCGGCATAAGAGACAATCGAGACTCCCTCTGGTGGTTGAGGTAGCTTTGAAATATAAAAGTTAAACAGTAATGGGGAAAGGACACCACCCTGTGGAACCCCCTGTTTTATTTTCCTCGGTTTGCTCGATTTGTCTCTAAAAGTTACCGACGAGTGACGACCACTCATATAATTCGCCGACAACCGTTTGATTCCCTGTGGGAGAGAGGAGGCCTCTAGCATTGAATGGCTGACAGTGTCAAACGCCTTAAGACAGGTCCAGCGCTGCTAGAATGGTTATCTCACAGGGGCGCTTTCGGTTTAGGCCACGAGTTATCTGGGTATTTATGGCGTTAAGTGCTGTTGTTGTACTGTGCACTTTACGAAACCCATGCTGATGCTGCGCTGGGGTCAGGTGGTTCGTGAAATACGGGAGTAGGAAGGCCTCTAGTGTCTTCGCTACCGGGGAAAGGAGGGTTATCGGTCGATAAGACTCTCCTTTGTTGGCTGATTTCCCCAGTTTGAGCAGTGGGACCACTCTCCCCATCTTCCAGATGTCTGGAATGACGAGAGTGGCCATTGAAAAGTTGAGGACCCCCGTTGGTACGCTACTCTTGGTTTTGGCAGTTTGTGCAGCCTTCTTGACGTTTGGCTTTATCCACCGGAGGATGCAGGATGAACTGCCGGTAGAAATAGCTCGCACATCGCTTCGGGTCCGACGAAGCGTGTTCACCAAAGTCTATTTCAACTCTGTCGTCACGCTTCGTCGCGTTGGAAAATAACCTCACGGTTGACCAAAGCTTACTCACACCAGAGGCGAAGTTGCAGGTCTTCAGGTGCTCTTCCCATTTCTTCCGCTTATGTACGTTCAGAAGTTGCCGAATCTCCGAGTTGAGATCCCGAATGCGGGGATTTCCGGGATCGGCCTGACGAAGGTTGTCGCGCTCATCGGCTAGGACAGCCGCTTCTGCAGGAAAATTCGGCCGAGGGTCCGAGATGCATCCCGCTGGGATGAAGCGGGCTGCAGCAGCAGTGACAACCCTGCGGGACTTACGTTCACCTACGCGAACGTCGGTTGGTATGGGTAGTGCAGTGAAGGCGCTTTCAGTAACATCCGCGAAGCCTTTCCAATCAGCTTTAGAAAAGTTGACATAGGTCCGGTGATCCGCGGAAGCAAAGTCAGCTGGTTTATCAATCGAGATGATTATGGGCATATGGTCTGATGCTAAAGTCAGCATAGGTCGCCATGATACGCTGTTTATCAGACCAGCGCTGACTATTGTTAGGTCTGGCGAGCTGCAGCAGCTGCCCATAATCCTGAATGTCGAATCGTCTATCTGCTCAGCTAATTGTGTTCCCCTACGATCGTTTGACAGGCTTGATTGCCAAAGATCGTGGTGCGCATTGAAGTCACCAACTAGGATACGGGTTTCACCTCTGAGGAGCGCACCTATGTATATCAGGGTGATATCCTGCCGGGCAGCTGGTGCAGAGGGTATGTATATGTTAAATATTTCGAGCTCGACATCGCCTGACCGGATAGCAATTCCCTGACATTCTAGGATGGTATCCCTGCGGTCGATGTCTGCTTCGATAAGACGATACTGCACGGTGTGGTGCGTGATGGACGCTAGGCCTCCACCAATATCTCGCTTGCGATCTCGACGGTGCACGTTGTATCCGGCGCAATTCAACAGTGTTGAATTGCCGTGCAGCTTCGTCTCTTGGACCGCAGCTATTAATATTCCGTGCCGACCCATGAAAACCGTTATCTCCTCGATCTTGCTCTGAAATCCGTTACAGTTGAATTGTAAAATCTTCGTGTGCCTAGGGAGACTTATTGGAATGTGGGGTGTTAGTTATGTGTGTTGCCGTGCCGCCACATGCTGTGCCTGCTGCTGCTGAGGCTGTTGCCCTGTGGTGTTAGTGGTCGGCGTCGCAGCTAGGGGTTGCGGCCGAGCAGACTCTAGACCTGTGAATGCCGTTCTAGGCACACCACCACCGGACATAGACGAGACGGAGCTTCATCTGCCTCGGGAAACACGAACAACAATAGCCCAACTTCGATCTGGCTACTGCAGCAGGTTAAACTCCTACCTAAGTAGATTTAATGAGGATGTGCCAAATGAGTGTCCGGCATGCGGAGAGACCCCACATAACTCGAAACATCTCTTTGCATTCCCGGAAAACCCGACAACCCTAACGGCTTTGTCCTTGTGGACCGACCCGATAGAGGCTGCACTCTTCCTAGGGCTGCCGTTAGTGAAACTTGACGACAACGACTGAGATATCAACCGATCTGGGCGGGGTTGTTGTAGCCGCTACAGCATGGGCCTTCATAGTCCCTCGTCCAATCTCGCGTGGTGCCCAGTCTTGAGCACGCCCTAAACTAACACCAGCCAAGGCAGGTGTTGCACTTGACTGATGTCACATTACGGAATGTCCTGGACTGGCATACCGTGCAGATTGTCGGAGGAACTAACAGTTGTTGACGGTGGCGTGTGGGTGGTGGTGCAGTTGTATCTGTGGTGTGGTCTGTTGTGTCTGTGGTATTGTTTATTGTATTGTGTTGTGGTACGGTTGTGTTTGTGGTGAGTTGCTCAGGCGGACTCTGTTGTGCCGTGGAGGCAGCTCGATTGGTGCAGCAAGGGGCCACGTACGCAGTGGTTTCAAGTTTAAAGTATATCATCAACCCTATATCCAATTCTATGTGAATAAATCGCTCCCATAATTTAATTTGTGCATTCAATATATTTCACAATTAACTTAAATTCTAAATTACAAATATTTGTGCTACGATATCGACACAGTAAAATAAAAAAATGGTATTTATTAGTAAAATAAATATCTTAATACATTTATATTTCAGTTAAACCTGAGATGTTCAATCGCACTGCAATATTGTTCTATCCATTTTTCCAGTGCTAAAATAATTTTCACCACATAAAATTGCTGCACAACACCCTTATTGCCGAAAAAGCGTTGCTTGCAACACTAGTCCTTTATGGGGGCCAAATTTGGTGGAACAAAATAGCTAAGTTTGTTTACTGGATATACTGAGTATTCAACGTCCCAAACGATCTTGCGCGCAAAGCAAAACTCCAGAGGCGCTGAATTTATGTATGAGTTCATGAATAAACTATGAGCGGTATACAATGAATCTCAAACAATTGCATAAAGAGAAGCAAGCCAAGCGAAGTGGAAGCGATCAGCGATTGTGAAAGATATTCATGCTCACTAGTTTACAAGCAAGCCAAGCAATTGTGAGAGAGTAACATTTTTTAGTGAGAGCAAGTTTGAGTGAACAAACCGGTGATACCATGGTTGCCACTCGCCAACATTTTTT